TGGGATTTCCCACCCTCTCCCCGGAGCAGCACCGATCGGAGCCGGCCTGCGGTGCTGGCGCCACACGCTGGCTGGCCTGCCGCGGCCTTGGGCACGCTGGCTCTTTCTCTGTGCCTCAGTTTCCCCGTCTGTAAGCACCCTGGGCAGCTGGGAGGATCGAATGTGTACATTGACCGTCCTTGGGACGGCGCCGGGCGCAGCTGGACGTGTCCAGTGCCCTTGTCCTCTACGTTAGACCGCGTTTCTCTTCGTGCCTCTGCGTGTGCTGGGCCGGCTGACCTCCCCCTGGACACTGCCCCTCCCTCAGACCCAGCACCCGCGCGACCCCTTTTCCAGCTCCCTCTGTGCTGGCCTCTCCCCGTTCAGACTGCACTCTGTGTTTGGGGCCCAGGGACCCACACAGGGTGCTCAGTAGGGTCCGGTGAGCGAGTGTCTCTCCTTCCCAGTGAGCGAATGCGGCCTCTGGGGCAAGTGCCGCTGCTCTCAGGCCTGACCCCTTCTGCCGCACCGGGCGGTGCCCCGGCGCTCTGTGGTTCTGGGGCCCCGGGCCGGTCACTGACCTGTTTGGCTGAGGCAGTGAGTAGGCCGGTGGGAAAGGCCCAGGGGACAGTGAGTTCCCTCGCACCTACGATTGCGAGGGGCGGGGCTGGCACTCAGCTCCAATCTCTGCAGCCTTAGCCCACCAGCGCTGACTTTTAACGTTCTGTTCTGGCTGCCAGGGAGATAAAGATGCAGGAAGACTCGGCCTCTGCCTTCGAGGGCACATGGTCTGTGTTCTGTCACCGCGATCCAGTGTCTTCTGTTTGAACGCGATGTCACCCCACTGAAGGGGCTGGCAGTGGGAACAGTAGGCTAGACTCCCACGGAGTCACGGTCCCCAGGCACACCCCAGGCAGGCGTGGGGGACGAGCGCGTGGGCTCCGACAGACACGTTCGTGTCCACCTGCGCCTCAGTTTCCTTACTTCTGAAGTGGGGCGCTGACAGCCTCGTGGTGGCTGTGAGGACGGAGTGGGCTGCGCGCTCACACCTCTCAGCTCCTCCTCACTCACAGGCGCCTGCACAATCTGGACCCGACCTATTGTCCTCATTTTGCCTTTTGCAACTCAATTTGTCCAAAAAGGCCTGTTTTATCCCCAAATCTCCCAAAGGTCAGCCCAGGCCACCACTCTGATCCTTTCCCAGGCTCCCTGAGCCAGACAGGAGGGGTGCTCACGCCTCTAGCCCCTGGCAGGCTCTTCTCCCTCCTCTGCCGGGGCAGGTGGCCTGGAGGGGCACTCCTGCTTCCTCCGAATCCCCCAGGGCTTGGCTCACAAGACAAACGCAAGTACTAGAGGGAACCAGAACTTAGTGCTTCGGGGCTCACAGTGGCCTCCCGTAGAGTGGAGTGTCCCAAAGCGTGGGATAGCTCAGAGCTGTCTGGCGGGACGCCGGCCTTCCGGTTGAGTTAGGTCATGATTTGTGCGGAGGGGTCAGTGGCCGGCAAGGGAGGCTGGAGTGTGTGATGGTCCCTGGGAAGTGAAGGGCTGTCCGGACAAGGAGGCCTGTAGCTGGGACCCAACCCAGACTCAGTGCTTAACACTACACAGCAGTAGCTGACAGCCTGAGTCAGGACCACCCTTCTCCGGTCACAGCCGGGCCCCAGGCGGAGAGCTTGGCTGCCTGCGCCCCATCTGGACGTGGAGCTGATGGGATTTGGTGTCCACGCTCTTGGCTGCACGTCCTAGGCCACGTGCACGTGTCAATGAGTGGCCACAGAGGTGCTGCACGTATTGGCTTGAGGTTACAAATAAACCTTAGCAAGAAGGCAGACTTGCAAAATACGGACACGCGAATAACAGGATTGACTGACATACAAATAAATGTGTGTATGTAACAAGCGAGGGGGAAAGATGCTGCCACAGTCTGCCGTCACTGGTCATGCGTCAGACTTGACCCATGGCTTCCTGTCAGCTCCTTGTTGCGAATTTCCCTTCCTCTCAGCTGGGGCCTCCGCTCCTGCAGCTTCTCAGCCTGACGGTGACCTGTGAGTGCTCGGGTCTGCCTTCTCCCTAAGCCTCAGTATCGGGCGCGTCCTGCAGGGTCGCCTGGGGTCCGAGCAGGCCTGCGGCCTCCCTTGAGGAGCAACAGCCCCCGATTGGCCCTGTTATTGGGCTGTTGGTGTCAGTGGCCTCCAGGACACAGAATGGCCAGTGGCAGTGTCACCTTCCGATGCACGAGAGCCACCGTGGGGGCCCCTGGGGAGCATCTCCCCTTTGGGGTCCGAGCTCGCCAAGCGTGATGGATGCTCTGTTTCCAGCGCACGAAGACTTTGCTGAAGGAGTACAAGGAGCGGGACAAGTCCAACGTGTTCATAGACAAGCGCTTCGGCGAGTACAACAGCCACATCAGCGCGGAGGAGAAGATGATGCGGAGGTTCGCTCTGGAGCAGCAGGTACGGAGGCAGTGGGGTCTCCTGTACGTTCATCGGTGCTCCTGCGGGCACTTGCCTGCTGGTGCAGAGGGTGGGTCTTGAGTCCTGGGCCCAGGCTGGCGAGGCCGGAAGGGAAGGGCCGGCTGCAGACACGCTGGTGGATCCATCCGGCAGCCAGAGGGCTCGGCAGGGCTGTGTCCTCGAGTTTTCACCAAAGCGCTGGCTCCAGCTCGGGTGGGTGGACAGGGCCGCGGGACGTACCTGACCCGCTGACTGACTGACCTGGGGTTCCGCTTGAATCCGAACCGCTGCTCAGATGGCGCAGAATAACCCTAAAGCTGCTGAGGCGACACTGACACGCTGCACAAGTAGCAGAAAAATAACGGGTTTTGCTGTTAAATGGATGTGGGCATTTTAGGAAACTGACTCTCTTCCTCTTCTGTCAGCGACAACATGAAAAAAGAAACATCTACAACCTCAACGAAGATGAAGAATTAACTCACTACGGCCAGTCCTTGGCCGACATCGAAAAGCTGAACGACATTGTCGACAGTGACAGCGACACTGAGGAGCGAGGAACGCTGTCCGGTAAGGGCAGGAGCAGGGACAGCCGTCTGCTCACCGCTAGCCTGGCCTGGGCGCCTTGGAAAGGGCTGGATAGAAGTGTCGCTGACCATAAAGCCCCCAAGAAATTCTACACGGAACGGCTTTCTCATGCTTTCCCTCAGAGCCACAGAAGGTGGGCGGCAGGGGCAGGGGGCGGTAGGTGAGGCAGGCAGAGCTCCTGGAGGCGGAGAAACACGTCAGTACCCTGTCTTGTTGTTGCTAATTCTTCCCCGAGGATTTTTTTTCTTGATTTTTATTTTTTTATTATTTTTTTAATATGTTTTATTGATTTTTTACAGAGAGGAAGGGAGAGAGATAGAGAGTTAGAAACATCGATGAGAGAAACATCGATCAGCTGCCTCCTGCACACCCCCTACTGGGGATGTGCCTGCAACCAAGGTACATGCCCTTGACCGGAATCGAACCCAGGACCCTTCAGTCCCAGGGCTGACACTCTGTCCGCTGAGCCAAACGGGCCAGGGCGCCCCAAGGATATTTTTCCATTGATTTTCAGAGAGAGTGGAAGGGAGGGGGAGAGACAGAGAGAGAAACATCGATGTGAGAGAAACACCGATTGGTTGCTTCCCACACTTGCCCCAACCGGAGCCAGGGATCCAGCCTGCAACCCAGGAATCGAACCCAGGACCCTTCAGTCCCAGGGCTGACGCTCTGTCCACTGAGCCAAACGGGCCAGGGCAGTGCCCTGCTTTATGTGAACGTCACCCGAGTTCACTGTAGCCGGGCGCTTAGAGCGACCAGTGCCTCGTCCAGCATGAGCGCCAGGTGTGAGCGCTCTGGGGAGACGGGGGCTTCACAGCTCTGCTTCTGCTCTGCAGCCGAGCTGACGGCGGCCCATTTTGGAGGCGGAGCGCTCCCTCGTGAGAAGCCCTCCCAGCAGCCAGGCCCGGAGGCAGCGAGACCCAGGTCCCACAAAGAGCTCATCGAGGAGCTCATCGCCAAGTCCAAGCAAGAGAAGGTGCGCCGCTCAGTCGGGGAGGCGCTCCTCCAGCGCTGGGGTTCTGGGGTTCTGCGGGCGCTGTGCCGGCTGCTTTCTGAGCCGTGTCCGGCTCCAGAGCACCGACTGCAGGGGGCTGGCTGTGATGGGTGTTTGGTTGCGGTGTTGGCTTCAGTATTTGGACCTGTGGCAGGATTTGCAGAACATCACTGGCGTTTCCCAACAGCGAGCAGCTCATGGCAGGAAACCAGTGCTGATCACCCGTGGCCCCTTCTCCTGCTGACACGTGGGTGTGGGCGGGCGGAGGGCGCCCGCAGTGATGCCTCTGCTCTTCCTTCCAGCGGGAGAGGCAGGCCCAGCGGGAAGATGCCCTGGAGCTCACGGAGAAGCTGGACCGTGACTGGAGGGAGATCCAGAGCCTCCTGGCCCGCAGGGCGCCCCAGGCCCAGAGCGGACGCCAGGAGAAACCCCAGGTGGGCGCGGGGCCGAGCAGGCGTCCTGGGCTCCTTTCTGGTGAAGGTTCTCAGGTTACCTGATACCTGACGTCAGGGAGAGCAGGCCGCGGCCGTGGTGGCATCAGCCTCGACGGTGCAGGGAGCGGCCCGGCGGCTCTTCGCTCCTGAGAGGGAGACCAGCAATGAACCCTTCTCTCTGCCAGCCTGACGCCTACGACCGGGCGGTGCGGGAGCTGGGCTTCGAGATGAAGGCGCAGCCCTCGGACCGGATGAAGACGGAGGAGGAGCTGGCCAGGGAGGAGCAGGAGCGGCTCCGGCGCCTGGAGGTGCGGGACGCTGGGGGCAGGGCGGGGACCCTCCTGTCAGGCCTCCCGCCTCGTTCTGGGAGGGGGACGCGCTGCTCCTGGAATCCGTGGGACCTTTTCAGTCTCTTTAAAGTTTGTGTGTTTTACTATAAATGCCTTTTTAAAGATCTTTTCCTAATTATGAAAGTAAAAAGTTCAGATGACACCCTGCTGCCCTCCCTTGGGCCCCACACGTGACCTCTCCCGCGCAGGCAGAGAGGGTGCGGAGGATGCTGGGGACGAGCGAGGACCAGGACAGCAAGGGGCCTGCACACGTGTCTGCAGACGACTTAAACGACGGATTCGTGCTGGACAAGGATGACCGGCGTCTGCTCTCCTACAAAGTAAGGCGCCGGCCTTCCCTTTCTCCTTTAGCGGAAGAGGGCACACTGGGTTTCTCACTTCCTTGGTTTATCTCGGGTGGAAACTGTAAATCTCCCCACGCGGCTCCCTGCAGCTCTGTGCTGCGTGTTCACGGTGTCCAGGCACCGAGACTGGGCAGACGATCACGTGGCGCTGCCCTCTCTCGGATCTCCGTTAGCTTTCCCTCGGTTGCTAACAAGTACTCCGACCACGGTGCCCGGGTCGTCACGCCTCTGGGTTCCGTATCCTGTTCCCAGGACGGAAAGATGAACATCCAGGAAGCGCAAAGCGGGGAAGCCAGTAACGGTGGGGACGAGGAGGAGGACGAGGAAGAGGAGGAGGAGGGCGAGGAGGATGCAGAGGACAGCGGCGGCTACGACAGCCACTCAGACCTGGAATGCAGTGTGGAGAGCGAGGAGGAGAGCGAGCAGCCAGAGCAGGAGCCGCGGCCACCGCCTGGGGGGAGGGCAGCAGGCCGTGGTCAGGAAGCTCGGGACGCCGCCAGGACTGAGCTGCCCTACACGTTTGCAGGTAGCAAACTGTCATGTTCCCTGGGTCTCGGGGCCAAGTCCAACCTGGCGGTCAGTCTGCCTCGCTGAGGCTGCGTCGGGGGGGGGGGGGGGG